CCCGATGCACGCTTATTCGCGGATCTTTGTTAATTAAAATCTCGGTAACTATTGCGAATCTAGCAAAATGGTATAGGACTTTTCATCTCAGTTTTATTCCTTCAACCTGTCTACGAGAGATGTTAAACCAATTCTGGGACACCCTGTATATATACTTGTTACAGTAATATATACAATATTAAGAATGTATATTAGTAATATTTATATTATTATATTATTTATATTATTTATATTATTATATTATTATATTTATATTATTATATTTATATTATTATATTATTATATTTATATTTTATTATATTATTAGATATATCTTATTACTCTTTATATTATTATAAATATAATTGCAGCATGTGACGACAATTGGTATGGGTATAATTGTGCAAACAAGTGCGGTTTATGCAAATCTCTTGGATGTAACAAAGTAACTGGAGAATGTATCAACGGATGTGTTGATACCTTGAAAATATTTTACTTGCCACCATTGTGTCATATAGGTAATGTAGAAGTTTTTTTAATTTCTGATACACTACTATGATTATATTTGTAAGACACTTTTGTCATTCTTATAATAGCTGTTAGACAAACGATGTTATATTGAATTTTAAGGTTTAGATAAGCTCACAGAACCTGAAATTGTCTCTATCACTTCAACAAGCATCCGAGTTAAACATCCTATAGTGTGGAAAGAGGAATATGAAAAAATACAAATAACTTATTCGTTCGCTATTACGGTAACACTACTTTTGTTTTATACTAGAATTGAAACAAATATTTAAGAATGTGTATCTTTGATGATAAGTTATCAGTAACCAAAAATTGTCTTTCTAATCTATTACTCAAGTCATAGTTTGACGTATTCGGAAAAAAAGTGTAATAAAATTTTCTATTATATTTTCTACAGGGAGAAAACGATTACATCTTTACGCAGTCATGGAATAGACTGTTTCAAAATATGACATATTTGATCGGATACTTCAACAATTTAAATCCTGGTTCTGTTTATTCAGTCAAATGTATGCTACTTGCAGAGAATGAAATAATTGAAAGCAAATGGCAAAGTGTGGAAACTGACTGTGAATGTAAGTAGTGATTTTTGTCTTTTCTTGCGCGAGCCTGTACCCTGATAGGAAACCATTTACAAAATTATGTGACAAAATCTTGCACTAAAATTGTAATTTGTAATTATACAGACATATTTTAGGTTAGGTAGGTTATTTTAGGAAATACATTTTAAAACTTTAATCTTTTCTGAAATATTTGTAGTTGTTTGCAAAATTACTTTCCAAATACTATTTCTGCAAAAGAATAACGTTATGGCGAATCATCTTAGTGCAATCATTGCAAAATCGTCGCCATTCATGATGTCATTTTTGTGCAATATTTTCACAAATGTGCCTATTAGGTTATGGATACATAATACGCACACAGCATTATTTCTGCACTATGCAAAAAAAACACAGAAAAAGTTTACAAAATATACTGCTTTCTTTATTGTACTTTATAATCGAATATGTGCCAAAATTGCTGTATACTTATATCATGCTTATCTTTTTTGTACCTATCTATCTACTTACATTTTTATCTTCTCATCACATCTCGTATTCGTATTTTGTAACTGATTCATTAAAATCTATTGATGTTGTAATTTTACATATATGATGTTTTTTTAAAATATTGTATATGCAATTACATTTAGTTTAACATATTACGTATATTTGAAGTAACTACGTTTTGCACATTTAAGCAAAACAAAAATTACTAGAACTACCTACCCGATAAAAAATTGTCCATGTATAAAATTGTATGGACATATTCGACATATAAATTTGCATAATTAGATATCATTATTTTAATTTGTGTAAAAGTATATATGAAAAATTTTTTACCGGGTACTAACTAACTAAAAAAACTTGGAAATAAATACATGGTTTAGGTTTTATCAAATGCTGTAAGGTTTAGTTTTGTACATACTTGAAAGATCTGCCACACAAATTTCTATATGTATATTTTTATATTTACTTATAAGTATATAATACCTAATATGATAAAATTGAGATCATAATTCTTGTCTACAACTGTATCACCTGCATATAGAAAAACACATGTAGTACAAAAAGAAATTTGTAAATACAATATTTAGTACTAGATATTATCATAATACACAGGTTTATTATATCTTTTTTTCTCTAATAGGCACAATTGTGAAAATATTGCACAAAAATGGCATCATGAATGGCGACGAATTTGAAATGATTGCACTAAAATGATTCGCCATAACAATTTTGTTACAATAAAATTTTGTAAATAATACTTGTCGACAATTGGAAAAGAATCGTTATGCATTTTCACAGTATATACCTCCAATAGGCAAATTGTGGAAATATTGCATAAATACCCACACAACATCGAATATCGTTAGAATGTCGCCAGAATATTACATGTGAAATCTGAAATATTCTGGTGATGATCTCAGAGACATTTTAACAATGTTAGCAGAATGTCTTATGTCCGCATCTGGCAATATTCTGGAAACATTCTGTAATATTCTGGAGACGTTCTTTAATATTTTGGTGATGTTCTTTAATATTCTGGNGATATTGTCGAGACATTTTGTAATATTCTGACAATATTTTAAAGACATTCTGGAGACATTTTGTAATGTTGTGGCGATATTCTAAATATATTCTAGAATATCTTCTATATGTCTGCACAATATTCTGGCAATATTCTGGAGACGTTCTTTTTAATATTCT